AGCGCTGCTTTACCACGTTATATCCTAATTCGTGTTATATTGGGGTAGAGGTGTAATACATTTTTAAAAATCCAAGCAAACCCCGGAATTCAATTTTGTGTTTTCTAAGACCTGGATTCCATTTGTCTTGCAACACCAGGCCAGGGTCAGTTAGAGAGTGAAGGAATGTGGCTCTGCATCCAACCTAGGATAAATGGGTACTGCTCCAGCCAGGCAAAGCATTTGGAGCCTGATCTTTTTGACTGCAACAGCTTCCAAGGCAGGCCAACGGGAGCGGCGGGATTTGCAATGCAGCCAGTAGACCACAGACTGTACCACTCCTTACTGCCATATGTGTGAGGTGGTTTGGGTTAGCTATCAGGCCCCAGAAGATCACAGAGGATTTTGAGGGGAGGGCGCAGCAGCTATGTAGCAACCCCTTGAAACTGCCACTGGGGGGAAGCAGCCAGCCAGGACCCATTAAAGACTCCAGGAAGAGGAAGAAGAAGGGTGGAGACTTAAGGAACTCTGTCCCTGCAGATTTGTGATGGCGAGTGCCTACAGCTGCAGTGGGGAAGGGCCTATGTAGGTCAGGAAGGGTCCTGTATTGGCATGGGGAGGGAGTGAAATCTCAAATATCATGAGGACAGTTGATCTCATGAGAGGTTTTGCTTTTTTTGGTGCAGTAACTGGGATTCAGATTAGCATGGTCTGAGTCTTGATCTAAACATCACTATCTCAGTCCTTCTGCATTTCACACCATTTTCTTGCAGCTCCTAGTTCCACCTCCAGTTCTGTAGGGACATTATTTTATTATGCTTAAAATGAGGAAGGTTTAATTCCTTTCACAAACATTATATATATCCTCTGTTTCCTCCTTCAGATTTTATGATGTAAATAATTTACAATAAACAACATCAAGTTAGCGCATGACAGAGTAAATCTGTAATGGGGGCAGTATTTTGTAACAAAAGAGACTGCTGAGTGATAGAAGCAGAGCTGGGTGAATACTGCAAAAAGTAATTGCACACATTAATTCAAACCAAAAGCAGGAATTTTGGAGACAGTATTTGCAACTCCTTTTATTGGCTTTCTGCAAATACTCATAATCAGGCAAGTTTTGTTCACAAAAATATCTGCATAATGGGTCACACATGATTACACTCCTGCAAACGTTTCCTGGGTCATCTTAAAAGCCAAGGTCTTTGCGGGGATGGGAGTCATACAATAAGATAGAAATATAGCTGACTGTACAGAACTTGAACAGTAGATTATAAACAGCAAATACTAGAAGTACGTTAGCAAGTAGTTTGCAAGCAACCATTTGCTGAAGAATTGTGAATAATGAACAAATTTGTAAATAATGAACAAAGTCTGTTCACAGATCATTTGCTAACAGAAGAACGGGATTATTTGTCAAATATGTTGTTAATAGTTCACCCTGCTCTACGTAAGAATGCAAGTCCCCCACATAAATAAATAAATAAATAGATAAAATAAAGAAGTGTTCTTGTGAAGTCACAAGAATCAATTATCCAGACTTACTACGTTTCCTTGATTTGGGCTCTTATCAATGACTGGTGTTTAAAGGGACAACAAAAACTTAAAAAACCATGTTTTAAAAATTGAATTTGAACAAATTTTGAAAAAAACATTTATTTTCACTATGATGTTTGGGTCTGATCCAAAGCCTATTGAAGAGACTCCCATTGACTTCAATGGGCTTTAGATCAGACCTTTTACATCCATTTGGCATTTCTCTCAGCTGGGATAATGAGAATCAGTGAAGTCAGCTTCTCAATGCTGCAATGCTTAGGCTGCAAATATTGCAGACCACCGTTTATTGAGTGGGACAGCTGCTCTGCAACCGTTGTCCTTGAGTACTTGCATTTTAGGTCCTTATTCCATATGTAGTGTCCTGACAGCGTGAAAGTACTTCTGTCTACACTATTGGGTCAGTTGGAGTTCTACTCAGGAAAAATGGCTATTCCAGGGGAATACTGAACTTGCTCCTAGCATGGAGCAAATTCATAATACTAAATGTCATTATGATTGTTTCTAGGTTTGGGCTATAAACATAGCTTTAATCTCCTCAGACAAGAGTAATTTCCCCCCAACTTTCATTAAAGACAGAGTCTGCATTTACTTCAAGTCACTATTTGGCTGCTACTAAGGAATCATGTTATGATTTTTTAGGGGGCGGGGGCAGTGTAAAAATCAATCGACATCCAAACTCTTCTTCTCCCCAGCCTCTTCGGTCAAAGAAAAGCATCCACTTACCAGTCTCAGGAGACGCTGTCTTTACAGAAAGAAGTTTGACACCCTCTTTATCTGTTGTGGCTCTGTTTTAGTTGGGAGACATTTGAACAGACAATTAGCATCAGACTTCTGCATATTTGTCAGTGCAGAAAGTACTAAGGGTATGATACTGTAACAGGATCCATCCTGGTGGAGTCTGTCATGTTGAGAATCCCCACTGACTTCAGTAGGGCTTTGCATGGGTACAAAGGACTTCTTGCATCACTCTGATTGTAGGGCCTAAACCAACATTTCTCAGAGTGGGTGTGCAGAGGAAAGGGCTAATGGGAGAAGCTGCTGTGGGACGAGAGACGCTTCCTTTTCTGCTCCTAATACACCTGGCCACAGAAGCAGCTCAGGCATACAGGGCTACAGGTTCAAGAAGCAGCTCGCCAGCCAAGCTTTGGGTTTCTTCACTCAAAACACAGTTCAGCTTCATGGATACATGTCTCGGCACCACTGAGTCAGCAGCGGACCCTCCAGCCATCCCGAGAAGCATGTAGTTTGATGGATCTGTCTCAGTTTTACTCTGTGGCAACACGTGTACAGCTCATTGTGCCAATGCAGTCTAATTGAATTGAAGTGAATTAGTGAGTTAGGGAATGGGGAGGAGAGCAAAAGAAAAAAAAAAGAAATAAAAAAAATAAAAATCAATAAAAGAGAAACCAGAGAAAAAAGAAGGGAGATGGGAAAGAAAAGGAGAGAAAGAGGAAATGGACAGAAAAAAGCAAAGAGGCACAACTGTGCCCTGAGATACATACTCTCAAAATGGCGTTTCCCCCTTTTGGGTATTTTTATGGGTGTTAACAGTTTATTATATTTCAGTGGAGAAAATTAAGAACATGCAGACATTGCTGTCTTCATAACAGCCACGTGACTAGACTTAAAGGAATGCAGGGGCATAGTTTAACTTACTGTTCAGTTCCATTCTCTTGTCCCTCTGGAAGAAGAAACAAATTTATGTTATTCTGATTGCCTAGATGTGGGCTAAATAAGAGGCTCAAACACAGCCATGACTAGCATAAGCCGATTTTGAGATTTTGTAGCTCTGCATCAAATATTAATAAAATAATAAATAAACAGGAATAACAACTTGCACTTATCATGCAGGGTCAACATGATTTGTAAAGGTGGACAAGTATAATTATCATAGTTTTTACAGAAACTCAGGAACAAGGATTAAATGACTCACAAAAGGTCACACAACAAGACCATGAAGCTAAAGGGAACGGCTGCATGGTTTTTCCTGTATAGATTGTCCAAGTTACAATCAGTGCCCATCATAGAATAATCCCAGTTTTCATGGGTTTGTTCCAGATCTTGCAAGCTTAATTTTGCAGCCATGCCATGTTTGGAACTCCCACTGTCCCCACATACCAAGGACAGTTAGAGGCCTGAACTTTTTGTTTGGGGCTTCTCATGCATCAGTGTTTTCACATTGATCCTAATTTCATGGCATTGGATCAACACATAACATCAGAGTACAATGTGATGACAGTATCATCGTGGTGTGATTTGAGACACAAAAGTTTTCCCTTCCTTTACATATCTGTAACACTCCAAAGTTACCATGTTGCAGTCTCTAGCCTTCTAGACAAGAAGTGGACACCCCCAAATAATGAATTATGCATGCTATGTATTCCACATTCTTTATTCTTGTCCTGTGGGTGGGTGGGTGGGTAAGGGTTAGATTAGATATATTTCTACAGCACCGGTTTTAAGAGTGTGGATGTTTAGTGAGCTAGAGCTAGGCAAATACTTCAAAAGATATCCACAAATATTCATTACATTTTTAAAATGAATTTGCTTTGATTGAGTTTGTATTTGCAGGGGGAAAGCCAGAGAAATTTTCTCCACCTAAAATCTTCACTCCTTGGCAATGAAGATTCAGTAATTTTCCAGGCAAGGAATCATTTCCCTTCTATGTTTTTGCAGTTTGCATTGTCATTTGCAAAAGTTATTACAACATGCTATTTACCTTGGCCTGTAGCTTCAAGGCCTTGTTATGACTTCACATTTCCAGCCCCCAGGAATTTCACAGCTAAATCGCTGCACAGAGCTCCCAGCTCTTGCCAGCTTGAAAGCAGAGAGACCACATTATGGATTCAAATTTGTGTCTCCTACTTAGTAACGCACTGCATTTGCCGCTAGCCCACTAAGCTCAATCCCCAATACGTTTGGCAAAATTGATGTAGTAAAGTTATTTCCCCCTGTGAGCCTCAATATTTTATGGGCAATACTGGAAAAGGTGGCAGACTGCTCTGTCCAAATCGCTGCTTATTGATGAAAATACTGCTTTCCCTGGGATTTTATGTGGACAAGGGAAAATATAAACATGGGATCGCTCCAAAAAAAGGAAAAATTGATTTTTTTCCTTGTGTTTTGAACAGAGCTAAAATGAACACAGCTGATTTTAACAACAAATGCAACTTATTTTGCCCCTTGCTTTTCCAAGCAATTTCTCTCTGCAGACTAGAGTCATTGACAGTGTCAGCACAGCTGTTTGTTAGGTAACTGCTAAAGAAGAGAGAGCATTAAACATATTGGATTTGTGTTCTCTACAAGAGGTGTTGTTTCCTCCTCTACATATACCCCATAGTAATCTTAATAAAGAAGTGTTAATTCCTTTTTTGACTAAATATTTTAAAATCAGCACGGTTATCTATCCGAATACAATAAAATTTGTATGCTAGGTCAGATTTTAATACAAACATTTGCAGTATTCCTTTCATAATGAATAATATATTGAAGCCTTCCTGGCTGCAGAAAAATGTTGAACAAATACCTGTGGTTGTCCTCCGGCACATTCTGTACAAAGCCACCAGAATGAACACAGAAAGGGTGATTACTATCAAGGCAATCACAACTGGCAAAATAATACCTGCAAAAAGTGGAGAAAATTATTTTACCAACCACATTCCACTGGCATAACTTTAAACATATATAAATATGAAACAAATTCATCTGTTCTCTTAGCCCCTCCACCATCAGTACAGCTGAAGCTATTAATTTCTCTTGAAGCTTATTACATTTGTTACTCCTCATGCATTCACTAGGTGTCAGGCTTGCAGCCTTTTTGAAAACCAGGGCTTTAGGCAACAAAGGAAGATTTAGTGGCTTCCTCCCCCATCCCTCATCATTCTGGAATCTCTGTTTTAAATATTAGACTCCTAACAATACAGAGTGTGTTCTCATGCACATGTCTTTAGGCCATTAAGATTATAATTTCTCCCCACATGGGAATACTCTAGTCATGATAAAAATACAAAATGTTCACCTTGAGAGTTAATAGCCCCAATATACATTTTCAGCACCCATGTTCCAGGAACAATTAAAAAAAAAATCATGTACTGCAAAACAAGGCAGATTTGAAATTCAGTGACTAAAGTGATTATTTCTTTTTTAATATGGTAATCACAGAAAGGCATGTAGGAGTTACACAATTTAGTAACATTCTGCACAATACCTATGACCAGAGATACAAAAAGAAAGATTTCTTTTAAAAATGAGGCAGTTTGTCTCCTTTTATTATTCTCCACCATCTGTTGTTTCCTGACAGGTGTTTCCCAGCCAAGTAGTAAGAACACGTACAAGGAAAGATTTATGTAATAAGAGACACTTTCTGGAAAATGGCCCAGTTTCTCTCTAATTATAATTTTTCATGGCTCCATCCTTCAGGTTCAAGTTTAACAGACTAGCCTGGTGGCCTAAAGAAGGGTTCTCTGCCCTGCAACATGGGAGATTCCCAGACATATACTAGCACTCCCCAAGCTGATAGAGCACTGCATCAATTCAACAGCAACCTTCTCTCACTGTCTAAACAGTGGTATTGTCTGGATTCTGGGAAACCTAGCTTTATTTCCCAGACCACCGCCAGCTCTCTCCAGGCTAAGAGTGATGAAGAAGCAATAGGTTGAGACTCTGGGGAAGAGCAGTGGGGGGATACTTTGCATTATTCAATAGCAGTCTTTCTGACAGGCGAAGCACTAGCAGTGAAACTACTTGGATCCAAAGGAAGAGCTGATCTAGTTAAAAAAAAAATGGTGGCCACTTAGAAGGGCCTCCATGGTACGCGGATAAAATGGGGAAGTAGCATCTTCATGGCTCCATCAAGGATGGAGTTGATCCTTTCCAAAAAGTTTCTTGAGGTGATTTAAAATATAGCTATATCTGCACTGGAGCTAAGTTTAGATCTTAGAGAAAACTGAATGTGTATATAGCTGAGCAAATATTAGAAAGGGTATTAGAAAGCAGACCTGCAATAACACTTCCCCACAAGATGTACACGTGTTTTATCATATACAAGAAAGGGAGTAGCACCCTCAGACCAACTGCTTGAAGAAGTTTGGAGACTAGAACCTAGGACTGCACACATTTACCCTGTGCCTTGACTGGCTCTCTCAGTGCCAAATTAAAGGTTTGTGAAAGTCCTGCATTTCCCCAGGTCATCACTCAGTGGAGCGATTGAGTTGAAGTTTTTCACTCATGTCCCATTGCCCTCAGTCCCTGGGAATAATTGCACTGCTTTGAGTTGAGAGTAGTGTTAGCTCAGTGCTCGTTAAGCCCTGCTTCTCTATGAGTAAAGCCTTATAACAGAGATAGTTCAATCGGTTTCGTAATGGGGTCCATGATCCAGGAAGGACTGAGATAAGGCTTCTTGTTTCCTTGCTGTTCACTCACCTAAAACCAAACAGTTTCTACCAGCAAATTCTAAAGACAGAGATTGAAGAAACATATGTACTCACTGGAATACTGGTCATTAACCGCTTGTTTGTCATTGCTACCAGGATTGCCATGACCTATTGGCAAAGAAACTAATTATCTCTCAGGTTAATTCAGACCTTGTTTTGTAATAGCACCCTCCTCTTTAATTTTATGCAACCAGCTCCTTCCCTCCCTCGCCACCACTGACATATGTGTTCTAAAGAACAGAGAAGGTATCATTTGGGCTGACAAATTGCTTTGGTGACCTGGGCTCTGCAATGGGGAGGAGTCTAGCTGAAGGGAATCTGCTGTGGGCTAGGAGAAAATACTCATCAGGAATGTGCACTGTGTCCTGTGAATGTAGCACAGCATCCAGCCCTGGGACCATCTGCGTGCTCTCTCTCTCTCTCTCTCTCTCTCTCTCTCACACACACACACACACACACACACTCTGAGTGTGCACTCCATACTGTTTTCAATGGTAGGAAGTTCCAGTACTGTTCAGTGTTTCAGTACAGATATTTCCTGCCATGCAAAAAATAAATAAATAAAATTGTGGGTGACGATTAGACATGCATCGAAAAGAGCAATGATGATAAGTCTGACTAAAAGAATCCACAGGCAGAAACCAATAATAAATGAAAGAACACAACAGGCTGAAACTTCAGAACTTTAACCACTTTCTTGCGAGTCAAGTGTTTTCGTGGGAGATGAATGCTCTCTCTGCTGTGTTTATAGACAGAAATGGTTGGTTAGTTTAATCAGCACTAGGAGTTCTCTAGGGATTTTCCAGGATCTGTTTTCTAAGCACTGTTTTCTACCTTTGGGCACTAATCTGAATCTGAGTCAGGTATCAATTTACCCAAGTAGTTTATTACCTCACTGCAGAAAGGTTAAAGAAAAACAAAATCACTGAATTTGAAAGAGAAAGCAAACACCTGTGCTTCCATGCTTACATTTCACTGCACACATGACTACATTTAAAAAAAAAAAAAAAAAGAGGTCTGAGTCACACAAGATGTGGTATTGTGCACCTAGAACTGCATGTGCAATTACTGCAACTGAGCATACAAACTGGGCAAATGGCCTGTGTAAACAAAGTGTTAGGTGCCTAACAATAATAAAACAATAGTAAAGCATAGTATTTACAAACAGATACAATATAAGAAATAGCTCTCCTACAATGGAGTAAAGAAAAGAGAAAGGTGGATTCAAGAGAGCTAATAGCACATAAAGTCATAGAGCTGAAGGCCAGAAAGGACCAATAGATCGACTCATCTGTACATCACAGGCCACCAACATCACCCTCACACTAAACCCAACAACCAAAACTAGAACCAAGGTATTACACAGCCCACAGGAGACTAGCCTATTATGTGCCACAGGAAGAGTATATAGTAGTGTTATCTATAGTACATAGTATAGTTATTACTTTTTTATTTATGTTATGGTAGCCCCTAGAGGCTCAAGATGGAATCCCACTGTACCACAGACTGCGCACGCACAAGACACACACACACACACACACGACAGTCCCCATCCCAAAGTGTTTATAATCTAGAGTGAGAAAAAGGAAAGCCCCATTTTACAGATGGAAATTGAGGCACACACAGAGATGAAGTCACTTTCCCAAGGTCGGAGGAAATCTGTGGCAGAGCCAGAAATTGAACTCAAAGCTCCTGAGGCCCAGTCCAGTGCCTTAAACTCTAGACTATCATTTTCTTATATCAGTACTGTAAATATGTAGGGATAGCATATAATTGTAGTAACAAACTGAGCATGAGACCCAGCTAAGCCTTAGAGCATGGCCTGTCCCCTGCTGTACTAATTTCGAACTCAAGGCCAATCTTAAGGGAAGCTTCAGTTTTTAATCTATTCTTCTTAGGTTGCCCATAACCCTGTGTTTATAACATACCGATCTGCTCAACTATAAAATAATACCTTGCCTACAGCTGAAGAGGAGGAAAAGGGGCAGGATTGCTTCTCTACAGGCTTGCTGGATATTACAGGTTTGTTGCATTTTCCAGATAACTAGAAACAACAGGTATTCACGGGAATGTTTATCATGCAACATGTCTGGGTAGCAGCAACTAGACTGGAAGTCATGAGATCTGGATTTTATTCCCAGCTCTGCTACATATTGGCTGTGCGACCTTGGAAAAGTCACTTCATCTCGCTGTTTCCCTTCCTATTCTATTTTTGCCTTGTCTAGGATTTTAAGATCTTTCTTGCAGGGATTATTGCTTACTATGTATTCACAGAATCATAGAATATCAGGGTTGGAAGGGACCTCAGGAGGTCATCTAGTGCAACCCCCTGCTCAAAGCAGGACCAATTTCCAACTAAATCATCCCAGCCAGGGCTTTGTCAAGCCTGACCTTAAAACCCTCTAGGGAAGGAGATTCCACCACCTCCCTAGGTAACCCATTCAAGTGCTTCACCACCATCCTAGTGAAAAAGTTTTTCCTAATATCCAACCTAAACCTCCCCAACTGCAACTTGAGACCATTCCTCCTTGTTCTGTCATCTGCTACCACTGAGAACAGTCTAGATCCATCCTCTTTGGAACCCCCTTTCAGGTAGTTGAAAGCAGCTATCAAATCCCCCCTCATTCTTCTCTTCTGCAGACTAAACAATCCCAGTTCCCTCAGACTCTCCTCATAAGTCATGTGCTCCAGCCCCCTAATCATTTTTGTTGCCCTTCGCTGGACTCTTTCCAATTTTTCCACATCCTTCTTGTAGTGTGGGGCCCAAAACTGGACACAGATGAGGCCTCACCAATGTCGAATAGACGGGAATGATCACGTCCCTCAATCTGCTGGCAATGCCCCTACTTATACAGCCCAAAATGCCGTTAGCCTTCTTGGCAACAAGGGCACACTGTTGACTCATATCCAGCTTCTCATCCACTGTAACCCATAGGTCCTTTTCTGCAGAACTGCTTCCTAGCCATTTGGTCCCTAGTCTGTAACAGTGCATGGGATTCTTCCATCCTAAGTGCAGGACTCTGCACTTATCCTTGTTGAACCTCATCAGGTTTTTTTTGACCCAATCCTCTAATTTGTCTAGGTCCCTCTGTATCCGATCCCTACCCTCCTGTGTATCTATCACTCCTCCCAGTTTAGTGTCATCTGCAAACTTGCTGAGAGTGCAGTCCACGCCATCCTACAGATCATTTATGAAGATATTGAACAAAACCGGTCCCAGGACCGACCCTTGGGGCACTCCACTTGAAACCGGCTGCCAACTAGACATGGAGCCGTTGATCACTACCCGTTGAGCCCGACAATCTAGCCAGCTTTCTATCCACCTTATAGTCCATTCATCCAGCCCATACTTCTTTAACGTGGTGGCAAGAATACTGTGGGAGACCGTATCAAAAGCTTTGCTAAAGTCGAAGAATAACACATCCACTGCTTTCCCCTCATCCACAGAGTCAGTTATCTCCTCATAGAAGGCAATTAGGTTAGTCAGGCATGACTTGCCCTTGGTGAATCCATGCTGACTGTTCCTAATCACTTTCCTCTCCTCTAAGTGCTTCAGAATTGATTCCTGAGGACCTGCTCCATGATTTTTCCAGGGACTGAGGTGAGGCTGACTGGCCTGTAGTTCCCCGGATCCTCCTCCTTCCCTTTTTTAAAGATGGGCACTACATTATTGGTACAGTGCTTAGCACAACGGGGCCCTGATTTTGATTGGCATCTTTAAATGCTATAATATAATATAATATAGATAATCATCGTCCAAGGCCCTTATCTCTGCAAAGTACAAGTTACCTCTTCTGGGGTGTCTGTCTGCTGGGAAGTGAAAATGCAGGAATGGAATTCATAAGCCATCATAAAGAGCCTGAGATAATTCCTATAACTTTCATAATTCAGTGCTCTCTCTTCAGATTTCTCAGAGGAATATTATCAAAACATTCATTACATTACCTGTACTTGCTATAGCAAGAATTAGGCAAGCAAACAGAAAGCACAAATTCAACTGATCATGGATACTGTTTAAATCCAGTAACAGAAACAAATTAAACAGAAAGGCTTGTCACAATAAACGTGGTCCCCAGAACTCGGCATGCGTGTTCTCAGGTGAGAAGCTAAGGATTTTAATTCATTCTTGTGTTTTTTTCTAGCTCACTTCATTAAATGATGCATAGAAACACCCACTTATGTGACTGACTGACTGAAGAATAAACCATTTACAGGAACCAGTAGGATAAATCACATGGCATTTTTTATATATGAGACTCTCAATGAGAACTGCAACAGTTAAAAGGAATCTCTTTTAAACGGATAAAATGCGTAAAGGAATACAAACTTGTACTCAGTTATCAGTTTTATTAGCTAAAATTCTCCCCCACACCAGGCCCACCCACCTATACTCCCCATCCTGAATGTGAATTTGGAAGATGTTTAACAAACAGAAAATGATCTATGCAAGTCTTGGAGTATGGGGAGAGGGTTAGTCCTCCTGGTTGCAGGAGGGGAAGTTCTAGAAAGAGCTGGAAGAGACAAAAGAACAGAGTACAGAAGAGCCTGCTCTCTGATAACTCCAAAGAGTGGTCAAAAGGACAATACCAGCTGAGCGACTGGCACAGAAAACCGTTGCCCCCTGAGATCTGCCAGTACTTGCTAATTAAAAGAAAAGTGATACAAGAATTAACAGTGACTATAATAAGCATCTTAGAATATCTTGGCAAATATTTTATTCTTGTATCAATTTTCCACTGCAGCCTAATCTCTCTTTAGCCTTTTTAGATAGCTTTAATTTTGTGCCTGTACCCTGTATGTTTTCAGTGTCTCCTGCTATAATATTATGTTCAGTTGAATTATCAGGAGAAACTATTTCTTAAAGCAACAAATATATGTCTCCTCTCCATTTTAGTGCTATACTTCGAACTCATTCTCTCTCCCTGGAGCTTCCTGGTGTCCTTTATATGTATGCTTCCTCTTTCATTCGGTTCTCCCCTCCCTGCATTCAATTCCCTTTAATGACCGTGTAAGGACTAGGTCCTTTTCTCACTCTTACTTGGTGTTAATGTTGATGTCCAGTGGGAGCCTATAAAAAGGACAAAAAGAACACTATGGTTAGCAGTTGCTTTAAGATTAGCGGCACTGTACTGTGCGGATACTTGGAGGAAACTGCTTGAATGCCTTAGAAACTATTAAACCCCAAAAGCTGGTGTTGCTTTAAAGAATTTGAAACTTACTTTGTTTGAAAAAGTTTTGCATTTAAAAACTCTTTGTTATATGATGGAGGAACAGGTTTTAAATTTAATGCCCGTCCCAGCTGCAGTGAACATTTTTCACTAAGGGTGGTAAAGGTTTTTTGCATGATGGTTAGAAAGCTACAACTGGAAAGATACTAAATCAGTAGGACTTATCCATGAGGAGCTAGATAGCCACTTATTCAGTGAATGGCATGGGCGTGAGCTACAAAGTAATTGGAGTAGGCTCTCCCAGTATTGCTATTTTTGCAGCATCATGGGTCCACATCACCATGCATCACTGCAGTAACACAAAGCAGTGCTGAGATGTAAGGCTTGGCTACTTTGTGACTCTCTTCGATTCTGTTCAACATGATAGCTTCTCTCTTCTTTCAAGGCTCAGCAAAGGGAGCTCTGGTCAGACCAATGGATTCTACAGAGAATTCATGTGGGGCCCAGAAGATACATGAGGGTAGGTAAGATTTCCCTAAGGATGAAATTCACCCTGTGCAGAGGGCCAGCACCAGGCCTATTTTGAGGATTTAAGTAGTACATAGGCTTTGGGTTCACCCATAGTACAGGGTGTGAATTTCAACCTCTTGTTTTAAGAGAGTTTAGATCCCTAGCGCAAAGTTGTTCAGAATACATGGAGGTTACTTATTGTAGAATTACCCTGTTACAACCTGTCTTTCAGGTTAAGTCTGTATTGCAACAGAATACACTGGAGTGGTAGCAAAAAAGGGGAAGCAAAAAATAAAAGCATGTACATTTGAAAAAGAACAGTATCTAAATATCAGAGGGGTAGCCATTACATGCATCTGATGAAGTGGGTATTCACCCATGAAAGCTTATGTTCCAATACATCTGTTAGTCTATAAGTTGCCACACGATTCTTAGTATCTAAATAAAAAACAAATAGCCCCTACCTTCACTTTTGTCCCCCACTTCTTCCTCTATGTTTCTGCTACCTACAATCTGCGCCATGAAACTTTTAGAAACAGCAGTACTTGCCCCTCCTGGGCCCAGCGACTCTGCTTTCTAGCCATGTTATGAACAGACAGAGATCTCTCCTGCATGGTATGGAGCTGCTGAGGGCTTTCAGTCTGCTCTGTTCCTCAGAAGATTTAGCCCTCAGACTTGTTTTTAGAAGATAATATTAGGCACTGTGAACAATGCAGTTTTTTTAAAAAAAGAAAACAGTTCTAATTGCTTAATCTTAGCCTAAGAGCAAGAGTAGTAAGAGTTTAATCATTATGTTCTCAGTGATGTAAGAGCTCCTGTCCACCTCTGACCATCTCATGTGACCATATTGCTGTAACCCTTGTTCTTCCTTGCCCCATCCTCTCCGTAACTGCCAACTGACTCCTAGCTGGTGTGACAATAACAGATCTCCTATGCTTATGGGACTGGGTGGGGGTGGAAGTGACCTTGCACAGCATCAGCAGGATCATAGAAGTGTAAAGCCACTGGTGCTATGTGCCGTTTGGCTGTAGCCATGGGCCTATTTGCTGCAACTAATATATTCCTAAAAAGTTCTGAGACTACAACTTGAGTACGTGCCTTTCCGTAGATAGCTGGCATTTAACTAGCAAATATCTTAAGTGTCTTCAGTGCCTCATTGTGACAGGTAACGAGTTACTTCAGACCTTCAAGTGTCACAAACCCTTTAAAAAATGAATATTCATTAATTATCTTAGTGATTTTGGCTAGTAGTCTGCAGAGCAGCAGGAGTAATGTGCATCGTTAATGAAGAAGAAATGGACCTTAAAATGCATCATGCATAATGCTTACTAACCTATTACTGTCAGATGCAACATTTACTCCAGTAATTGTGCGGTACAGTAATTCCTATTCTTGTTAGAACGCTGCTGTGCCATGTCTAGACTAGAACATCTTTGGAAATTAAGAAGGCTAATGAATATTTCAGATTTGGAGCCACGGATTCTCATCACACCCAACCGTGGTCTTTATGACACGCTGTTAAACCCTCTCACATGTGCATTGTGCAAGTCAATGGGAGTTGGGCACCAAACTCTTCTCTGAAACTCTCCCCTTTTATATACTGGCAGTGGAATGCTGACCCTTTAGTGTGACACAGGCTTCCCCAACATGGGCTAGCTGACTGTGACTGTTTCTATCTGGTGTGCACCTCATTGTCATCATCCTTGTCTTGGTGGTCTCCAAACTGGCTTATTGAAAGGGGGCTACCTTTAGCAAATATTCAGAAGCTACAGCTGGTGCAGGAAATGAGGCTTGATAAATTAGTGGTGTGAAAAACAACAACCAGTCCTCACTTACAGACCGCCCCCCAACCTGAAGCAAATACTCACCAGCAACTACACACCACAGAACAGAAACACTAACCCAGGAACCAGTCCCTGTAACAAACCGCGTTGCCAACTCTGTCTGCATATCTATTCAAGGGACACCATCATAGGACCGAACCACATCAGCCACACCATCAGGGGCTCATTCACCTGCACATCTACCAATGTGATAAATGCCATCATGTGCCAGCAATGCCCCTCTGCCATATACATTGGCCAAACTGGACAGTCTCTACACAAAAGAATAAATGGACACAAATAAGACATCAAGAATTGTAACATTCAAAAACCAGTAGGAGAACACTTCAATCTCCCTGGACACTCAATAACAGACTTAAAAGTGGCAATTCTTCAACAAAAAAACTTCAGAAACAGACTTCAACGAGAAATGGCAGAACTGGAATTAATTTGCAAACAGGACACCATTAAATTAGGCCTGAATAAAGACTGGGAGTGGATGGGTCACTACAAAAAGTAATTTTCCCTCTGCTGATACTCACACCTTCTTGTCAACTGTTGGAAATGGGCAACGTCCACCTTGATTGCATTGGCCTCGTTAGCTCTACAAAAGTAATTTTCCCTCTCTTGATATTCACCCCTTCTTGTCAACTGTTGAGAATGGGCCACTTCCACCTTAATTGAATTGACCTTGTTAGCACTGACCCCCTCTCCCATCCCCACCCCCACTTGGTAAGGCAACTCTCATCTTTTCATGTGCTGTAATATTTATATTGTTTACTGTATTTTTCACGCCATGCATCTGATGAAGTGGGTTTTAGCCCATGAAAGCTTATGCCCAAATAAATTTGTTAGTTTCTAAAGTGCCACAAGGACTCCTTAACAACCAGATAGCAGCTGTTCTCCAAAGCTTTTAGAATCTTCCAGTTTGCACCTCGGTGCAATTCAAGGTGTTAAATTTTGATCATGAAAGTCCTACATGAGTTTCTCTGGCTTCCTTAGAATCTGCCTCTTTCCTCATGTGCTACCCTGGCAGTTGAGAGGAGCTAGGATGTTTTTGCTAACAGCCTCTAACTAGGATTGTTTGGGGTTCAAAGGCAGGGCTCTGGTGAGCTCTGAGCTCTGGAATTCTCTTCCTCCAATTGTCTGACAGAACCAGCCAATATTGTGTTTAGTGAAAGTCTATTTAGTCTATTTTCATAGGGCTCTTTCATTGCAGGATGATAGTGGGGACTGCAGTTCTCTGATTTTATCCTGGGGGAATCTGTAAAGAGAGGTAGACTACAACTCTGCAAGAGAGACTGGCACATGCTCGGCACTCCAGCTCTTCTGGATGGTGAAGCAGCCCAAATGCTGCTTGAGGGAAAGCTGCCATAATTCAGAGCAGCCCTCTGGCTACTCTAAATGATACCAGGGGCTAAATCAGCCCCTGGAGCAGACCAGAATCCTGGAGGTGTGTAAAGTCACTTTTGCCCATGTGCTGGCCCTCTGCATAATGGTGAATTACTCCAATTGTAATCTTGAACAGTTCACTCATCCTCTGGTGTTCTACACTGCCCCTCTATAAAATGAAGATATTACTTACCATACAAGCAGTGTGAGATTTATTTACCTAATGTCTGAAACACTACCTAAGTGCTATTGGTTATAAACATTAGTATTAGTAGCCAGAATATGCTCCCTAAAACATAGAATGACTGCTGTTGTGTGTTTGTCTCTACACCACAAATGTAGTATGAAGGAATCATATGGGAAGAGTGGGATCAAAATAAACATACAGATCTTTTAAACCCTACTTTAAAAGAACATTACTAAAGTTGCAAAGTCAAGCACACAGGAGTCGGGAAATACAACCTTAATTTGACCTCCTTGTACATATGCAGTTTTTGTGTGTAATTTCCTAGGATTTTAAAAAAGCAACTTGAAAAAAGGAGAAATCCCATCATGTGGCCTCATATTGACACCCACAGGGTTCAGCAGAAGGGTTGGAACCTTAAGATCCATCACAAAGATCTCTGCTGCATGCTGCCTTGGCACCAGGCTCTATCTATTTAGCTTAACACAGAGATGGTTAAGGGGTGACTTGATTCAGGGCCGCCCAGAGGATTCAGGGGGCCTGGGGCAAAGCGGGGGAGCTGCAGCGCTTGTACTCAGGCGGCAGCAGTCCGGGTGTTCGGTGGCATTTCGGCGGCAAGGGACTCTTCATTCGCTCCACGTCTTTGGCAGCACTGAAGGGCCTCCCGCCGTCGAAATGCCGCCGAAGTCCCGGACCGCCGCCGGGCCAGGGCTCACGGGGCATTTCAGCAGCAGGGGGCCCTTCAGCCGCTCCGCGTCTTCAGCAGCACTGAAGGGCCCCCCGCCACCAAAGACCCAGATCGCCACCGGGCCAGGGCTCACGGGGCCCCTGCGGGGCCCGGGGCCTGGGGCAAATTGCCCCACTTGCCCTCCCCTCTGGGCAGCCCTGACTTGATTACAGTCTGGTAAGTACCTACCTGGGAAACAAATATTTAACAATGGGCTCTTCAGTCTACCAGAGAAAGGTATAACATGATCTAATGGCTGAAAGT